AGTATCCTATGAAGGGTGAGTATGAAATGAAGAAGAGTACATTTTTTTCTATAGCAGCAATAGTTAAAAAATATCCTGTAGCACCAAGGCTAAAAGAGGAACATGCTTTTGTATGCACTACTACACGTCACTGTGATAGGTTTTTTCTTGGTCAGCAGAGTCTACCAAAGTACAGCGTTGGTTAAAGATTAATTAGAAATACATTAGCAAAATTGCATCATTAAGGATGTGGGAGGTTTGGCAGTGTGGAGGGTCTTATTGCTGTTTCACACACCAAAAGCATCTCTACACCAAAAAACAGTATTCTAGCAAAGTGTATTCAGTAAAAGGGTCAAGCAGATGTAACAGAGAGCATTGGTAGCCTCTCCTGCACAGAGATGGAATGACTGCTAAACCCTCAGCCTGCTGTAAATCAGAATGAAGCTTTTATGCTTACCAGAGAGGCTCCCTCTCTCAGGAGAGAACCAGGGTTTAAAACTTACAGGCTGTCATTTTTTCTTGGAATGAATGCAGACACCAGTAGAGGGGATGTGTGCCAGGATCTGGCTGTCCAAGGGGCCCAGTGACCACACTAGCATACAGGTTGTCACTGCCCAAAGTCCCTCATGGCTACTGTGAACCTGTTTGCACCTCCCTGAAGATTTACCCACAGTTCAATATTTTGTCACTACAGTCAATTTATCAAGCCACACTGGTTCATAGCTGAAAAAGTAGAATTGGACAAGCAGGATGCCAAGGATGTTTGTATCTGTAGGAAGCTGAGGGCTAATTGTTGCTTGTTGTATACTCTGCAATGCGTTGGAGGAGCAGAGAATATGCTTAGTAAGCACTGAGATGAAAGACATGCATGGCAAGCACATAAGCTTAATTAACCCAGAAAAGAGAAGATGAGCAAAGACATTTGTCTTTGTTACAGATCTCAATAGGCTTCAGGAAAGGACTATTTTTTACTATCAAGACTGGGAAATAATTTTTATCAACAGCTACAGATGTACTTGATAAGACTGTTTTAGCTGTTGCTAGTTTTACCTTCAGTTAGGGGGAGCCTCGCTGCGATCTCAAAGCCTTTCAGCTTTCCCTCATTCTTTTCTCTCTACACCTGGCAGCTAAAAACAGTAGCAACATCATCATTTGTTTTAAATTCTTTATAATCTAGTAAATGCTTTAGTATTAGTGCCAGTAGGATGGAATCTCAAACAGGCAGATGACACTGGAGAGACCCAGCTATGAAAACATATGTACTGGGCATATGAGGTGGGTTTCAGGACAGCAACAATGTCACACAGAAGGGACTACACTGACCTTAGCATTGAATTAAAATTTTCTTACACCTATCTGATCTTAAATTCCAAGCAAACCCATTCCATACAATGAAAATTCCATATTTTCTGAGTGCAACTCTGATTGCAAATGTGCCTCCAATGTGTGGGACCCTGTGTGTGGAGACAACGGAATCACATACGTTTCAGCATGTCTAGCTGGGTGCAAGACTTCAGTGGGACATGGAAGGAACATGGTAAGACCCTTTTCCAGTCTCTGAGGTTTTTTACTAACTTATTTTCCATGTAACATTAGGGATTTAGTAGTATAATGGATTTAAGGAAAACCAAGGTTATCAAGGACCAGCCAGTAAAGTAGTTATGATTTCTGGCTACAAACAGCACAGAGACATAGAGATTTCTTTGAGATAACACATATTAAGCAAAACCCCCTAGCTCCATGTAGATATTAATCTTCATCTTTTGTTGATTGAAAACAAGAGGAGAAAACAAATAAAGCTAAGTGGTTTTATGTTCCCTGAAGGTTGTCCAGGGCTTGCCTCTCATAAACCTAATGTTGGCTGTCCTGAGGTTTTAGCCAGCAGTGGAAGTACACTGAGATAGCACAGGATCTACTCTGCTACTGATCATTAATGGCTAAATACGAAGAATTATTGGAAGAGAGGCAGCTTGTTTCCTCCCTGTGAGACTCTGGGATGGCAGGATATTGCTTAGTTTTCAGCTGACTGATTCCTGTTCCACATGGAATGATGGGGATAATGCATAAAGTCCCAGAGAGGCAGCTCCAGTCCATGGGTATAAACTTTCATCACAGTATGTTTTTCGCATGTTTTCTGATGTCAGATGATCACTGAGAAGACACATGGTCTGGACCTGTTTCTTGCACTAAGATAATTTTCTCTCCTACAGATTTTTCTTCGTGGCTGGTTTCTCTACTGTCTACAGTCATTCTCAAAAAGACATTATTTCCTTAAAATCGTAAGGTGGGAGGCAGGGAAGAAGGGCTCAGCACTGTCTGCTGCTATGAGGCTGCTGCCTCCCACACAAGTCTATCTCTATAGAGGTTAAGGTTTGTGGCCCAGAGTTCCCCTTACCTCAGCACATCCTCAAGCCACTTAAGCCCTGGTTAGAAACTATTTATTCTAAGCTATCAGTATGCCTTCAGCTGATCTACAGGGCTCCACATGAGCTGTGTCTTGACAGGCAGCTGCTGCTTACAGCTGTGAAGTACCTGGTGGATTAGTGTTAGCAGAGAGGGACCTGTGATCCAGGTTTTTTTTCACAGAGACAAGTCAGCTACCATGTGGTGTCAATTAGCACCAAAAAGCACTGATTGCTGAGTCTCGATTTTCCCCTTTGCCCTTCAGGGATACAAAAGCTGAGGCCAGCCTCACAGGTCCTGCAGGTAATCCAAACATCCTCCAAAAAGGGCTGCTGTCATGGATCGTCTCTTCTGAGACTGAGCACTGTTTGTGGGAAAGAAAAGAAGAAGCTGCTGGCCATTGCTTCAAGAAAGGAAATGAAATTAAATAGGAGTGGAATGCTTAGAAAGGCTTCAGGGCCCTGCCTGTGTCTGAAGGCAGGATTCCCCATAATGTGAGCAGTGCCCTACCAGATCTGCTTTGTGTCTTCCAGGTTTTCCGTAACTGCAGTTGTCTTGAAGCCAGTTCATGGACAGGAAATAACTCTGCCACCTTGGGGCAATGTCCAAAAAGTGAGGATTGTTCAAAGAAGTTCATTTATTATACAGTGATACAAGTCATAGGTGGCTTTTTTTATGCCTTGGGAGGCACCCCATCATATGTAATTATGTTTAGGTAAGTAAAACTAACGGTTCATCAAAGATTGAGACTTTCCAATAAGAGGATCAAAATTATGTTTAGGTTTCACTATTTCCCTTAGGAAAAGAAGACTCTCTTGCAGTATAACATGCTTTCTTTAATGAGTTTTGTCATTTCCCATTTGTTTGTAGCTGTTTTAGCATCTAACCTCACTTTGTTGCTGTCTATAAGTCAGTTTTAGTGTGTTGCTTCCAACTACTCCAAACTGGTTTCTTTTATGCCTGTCACATGCCCAGGTGTTCCAGAATGTCCTCTTTCTCTGCTTGGATACCCTGCCTGTATGGATTTTGAAAATGCCATATATTTGTCAGGATTTCTGGATAAGGGGCTGCCTTAACAGATTGTGGTTACCACTTGTCTGGAAATTCAGGACATCTGAGGACTCAGTCTGAGACTCCTGTGTTCATGTCTGTTGAGGTACACAGGTGCAAGTGTACCAGGAGGTGATTTGGAGCTATGTGTACAATTTAGCACATACTTTTCACTAAGCTCAAGAGAAACCTCACTCAGTAGAAAAATACATCAGTGGCAAATTTAATGGTAGTCCTAAGGGCATTATGTCATCCTAAATGAGTACAGAAAACAGAATGCCAACTCCCTTCCCTTCCTTATCTCTGTGAGATGTCTTTCCAAGTGTTGATCATGTCAATATTTGTAGGGAGATGGGGGAGGCTGGGTATATCATGGATTCAAGATTAGTGCTCATTTTGATGCTTGGGGTGTGGTTCCCCATGAAACAAATGAGCATGTTGCCAGATAGATTTGTGTACTTCAAGATGTGGCATTGTACAGAGGAGTGTCATTTGAGAACAAAAAGATGCCACACTAATGCAGTCACTTGCAATATTGTTGTCATAGGGTAATATGATATTTCCCATCAAGGGAGTAAGGTATATCCCATCAAGTAAGGAAAATGTATTCCAGAGAGTTAAGGCAGTTGGAGAGCCCATTTCAATAATATTCAGATAGACTGTGATTAGGACTTTAAAATTTTACTTTATGGTTACTGAATTGACTTCTCATGAGCTATGTGATGGAAAACAGTAGACTAATCCACATTTTTCATACCACTTAATTTATTTGCAGCAGACATAGGAAGCACTCTGATTTCAAAGCCTGACCATCTGTGTTTAAGAGTACTAAATTCAGGGCAATTAACAGCACTTGAATAGGCATGCCTAAGCACTAGGTAAGCATACATTTCATACGTGCCCCTTTTTCTTTCAGATGCGTTCACGCAGAGTTGAAATCTCTTGCAGTTGGTCTATACATGCTCGTTATGAGAGTGCTAGGTAAGATAAGTAATTTTGACTGAGATGCTTGCTTGTATGGATTTAAAATGCAACTACCACTTGTAAACCAGATGTTTCTGCAATAGATGTTGGATCTTGAGCTGTTATTGAAAATGCTGTTTGGTTTTGGTTGGTTTGTTGTTGTGGTTTGTTTTGGTTTTTTTTTTCCTGAAGGTCCAATATTCATTCAATTCTGAAAATCTCTGACCTGTTGTTTAAATTGTGTTGCAGTCTGGGAGCCTGGTGTTCCAAAATGGGAAGAATTCCTATGAAAAATTGAAGTATTACCTTGAATTTCTAAACAACACTACAAGGTTTCAAACTTATGATTGAACCAATGGCTCACTAAGGCACAATGTTGCAAGAAAGACTGAAAAGATATGATCTAGTAGGACTTTATTGATCAGTACTACAACTCTACTCATAGCAGTATAGTTGAAACTTCATGTTGAAACTCCACTTTCCTGGGAGATGACATCTTAGATTTCAATTCCCTTTAAGTGTGCTGTAAAGCTGTTTTTTCCCCTTTTTTATTTGAGAGTTGCTAATGAGATGGTTGATTAAGACACATAGGCAGGAAGGAAAACACCTCTCTGTTTCCTTTTGTTCTCTTTGTCAGTGGAATAGAAATGCCTGCATTTCAGAACTGCTAGAAAAAATATCTGAGAAGAGACAAGCCACACGGGTTTTCTATGAAGCCTAAAAAATCACCAGCTGCTTACAAAGGTGTACAATCAGAGCTAGATTAGGGCTGTAGTCTCTACTCAGGATTGTGATGGGACATTTTCAGATAGGACAGTGTATAAAAACTCTGTTTTCTGCTTTTCTTATCACATAATGAAGTGGCAGAATTTTCAGTACAAGCAATGCCAATGGGATTCTTGGAGATCTTTTGGCCATGGGGGAAAAAAGTAGAAAAAAGAAAGAAAGCATTATGAAAAAAGAACTGCCCCCTTTCTGTAGGCTTCTGCTTTAGCACATTGAGCCAGCATGTTCCTTTCACTGCAAGAAGGGTTAGAACCACTCTCATTGATTAAAAAAGCCGGCATGTACCTTCGTTCCCTAGGGAACATTCAAAGTGAGCATTTGTCCCATCATACCCTGACTTCCTGATTACAACACTGATTATCATAATAATATATGGCCTTTATAGACAGATTACTGTCTCAGACTCTCACAAGAGTCCCAGAGTAGAACAAGTTTAGTGTATACCTGCTTTTACAAAATAATTTCCTTTATATAAGAACACAGAATGTTCCTGTAGGAACAAACATGGTCCTATACACAGAAACCTGGATTCCTCTGAAGTTAATACCTATATTTGACCAAGGCTAGGATTTTGTCCCGTACCTGTCATGTTTTGCCGTGAAGCATAATCTCGTACCTGGCCAAGTCACACTAAGGACTTCAATTGCTTTACCTTCATTCAGGCAGAAGTGACTTACCAGCCAGTGTGTATAGTTAAGGCTATGCATTTTGCATAGAAGGGTGAACTCTGCATCAGTTTTGTGCTCCAAATGAGTTGCCAGTCCAGTTCTCCCTTGCAGGGTCTTAGCATGCACTGGGATCCAGTGGTGGCTCTCAGGGCTGCACTTGAGAAACCAATGTACATGACTACAAGCCTGGCCAAACCCTTCAGTCCACATTTCCTGGGGATGGTTCTTGGAGATCTTTTGGCCATGGGGGAAAAAAGTAGAAAAAAGAAAGAAAGCATTATGAAAAAAGAACTGCCCCCTTTCTGTAGGCTTCTGCTTTAGCACATTGAGCCAGCATGTTCCTTTCACTGCAAGAAGGGTTAGAACCACTCTCATTGATTAAAAAAGCTGGCATGTACCTTCGTTCCCTAGGGAACATTCAAAGTGAGCATTTGTCCCATCATACCCTGACTTCCTGATTACAACACTGATTATCATAATAATATATGGCCTTTATAGACAGATTACTGTCTCAGACTCTCACAAGAGTCCCAGAGTAGAACAAGTTTAGTGTATACCTGCTTTTACAAAATAATTTCCTTTATATAAGAACACAGAATGTTCCTGTAGGAACAAACATGGTCCTATACACAGAAACCTGGATTCCTCTGAAGTTAATACCTATATTTGACCAAGGCTAGGATTTTGTCCCGTACCTGTCATGTTTTGCCGTGAAGCATAAGCTCGTACCTGGCCAAGTCACACTAAGGACTTCAATTGCAATTGCTTTACCTTCATTCAGGCAGAAGTGACTTACCAGCCAGTGTGTATAGTTAAGGCTATGCATTTTGCATAGAAGGGTGAACTCTGCATCAGTTTTGTGCTCCAAATGAGTTGCCAGTCCAGTTCTCCCTTGCAGGGTCTTAGCATGCACTGGGATCCAGTGGTGGCTCTCAGGGCTGCACTTGAGAAACCAATGTACATGACTACAAGCCTGGCCAAACCCTTCAGTCCACATTTCCTGGGGATGGATGATCCTCAAAACACAGAGAGTGTCCCAGTTTATTGTTAGGCTGATAAAGGAAAGGAAAAAACTCCCCACAGTCCAATCCACCTATTCCCACTATTGAAGGATGTAAATTGCCACTAAGAAATTATAAAGCTGATTTCTAAAGAGATGTCTTTTCCTCTGATAGTTTGTGATACTTTTGCTTGCTTCCTCACAGCTGGGATTCCAGCACCAGTTTATTACGGTGCACTGATAGACAAGACCTGCTTGAAATGGGGAAGCACAAGCTGTGGGCAGCGAGGGGCTTGCAGGTTATATGACTCCAATGCATACAGGTAAGGAAAATTAGAGCACAAAAAAGCCTCATGCATTTCTTCTCTACAGACAGACATGCTTTTTCTGTTATACTGTAGTGTGAGAGGCCACTGATCAAAAATAATGGTCAAATACTAACTCTGGACTCATGTCAATACAGAATTTCTGACTTTGAGAAATCTTCAGATCAAATCTAAAACTCTTGGGGTTTTTTGGTATGCTTTTATGTTGTGCAAAAATAATTTAATATCAATTACAGAGATGTCTGGAATAAATTATTATCCTTTGAGTTAATTTAAAAGACCTAGGATTGTATTATTTACTATCAAGAGGAAAATTACCCAGATTTACCTAATTTGCAGGTAGTTTGTTCATACTGGCAAAAATAGTAACTTTGTGTATTGGCCACATTTGAGAGGAAAATAAATGAAAGAAAATCATACTGAGTAGCTGAAGTTACTGGTTAAACAGTGACACTATCCATTTCCAGGAGGAGTATTTCAGACATTTTTCTGTTTCACCCAGACCTTGGCCACTTCTGATGTGTTTTTTATTTCTACATACAATATCCCTGAAAAGCTAAGGCCTTAAAGTAACAAAAAATCTTCAGAAACAAAGGGAATATGATAGAAGTTATGCTCTGTAACTATATTCCTAAGATAATATTAGCAGTTCTTTAATGGAAGTTTTTAAAAATAAAAATGTGCAGTTTGTGGTAGCATTCACAAGAAATAACTTGTATTGTTTTTCAAAATGTTTTTTGGGTGTAGGTCTGTGATCCTAAAAAGCTATGAAAGTAATTTTCTTAAGTGTCTTTGAAAACTTCAATACCTGGCACTATCTCCTATGCTCTACCCCACAGGTATGTCTACCTTGGATTGTCAGCAGTGTTGAGAGGTCCTGCCTACTTGATTGCAATAGTGTTTTATATATTAGTAAAGAAACACTTTCAAAATAAGGACTCCAGGCCTGTAGAGAATGGAGGAAGAGAGGATACTCCTATGAACAGAGATGGTAATTGTGAGAACAAAGAACGTTTGCCAGGTTCTACTGATGCAGAGAATGAATCATGTATTTAGAAAGCCATTGGTGTCATGTGAATCTGGACATCTTATTTTAGATACAGCTTTCACAATGTAGTGAATAACTAAATAATAAATAATAACACTGTTTAGAAAGTAAAACTAATAGCAAACCTGTGATCAACAAGAAAAACTAACATGTAAGTATGAAAGTGCCTTAAGTGTACCTGGTTACCAATAACAGACAGACGTTACATGAACTGAACCAAACTCTCAACAGATAAAGGAAATATCCCTTAGCATTTCCTATAGACCCAGCCTGCAGTTTTTAAAGGGACCAAAGATGACTGCTGGCAGAACAGCCACATAGCAAAGGCCCACAAAACATGCTGGTGACACAGTTACACAGATCCCTGTGGCAAACTGCCACAGGAATGACAAGTCTAGGCTAACAGCAGCTTTCTGATTTCATCAAATTCAATCAGAACTCACAGTAAAACCAAAGCCTTTAAACTAAATGTTCCCACCCTTCCTAAGCGAATTATTGCAACAATTTTCCATCCAAGGAGCTTTTTGTCTTAGTTAAAAACAAAGAATTTTTCATAAAAGAACTGTTTGGGATTTTTAAATCTCACAGTTTTAGCATTTCACTTTAAACTTTTTCTTTTGTTTTGTTTTCGTCAAGTGGCTATGAAACATAAGAAATATTCTGAATTTCGTAGTGATGTTTTCGAAGCAAAAAGCATCCATAATATGGTGGTGGTTCTATTGCTATGCCAAATCCTGTCCAGCAGAGGACACTCAAGCAATAACATTACCCCTGTAACTACCGCAAATACTCTACATAGCGTCGCGTTCAGCCTTTAGCGTTCTGGGAGAAGTTCATCAGCAGGCAGGCAAAACACTCATCTGTGCTTTCATGCATCTTAAAATTTTCTTAAGTCTTTCACTCATATATTCGAAGTTGCTTTTGTGCATTTGCTGGTTTGTGCTCATCGTATTTGCTCACTCAGAGCTTGACAACATTTTTTTTTTACTTTAAATAAAAAGATATGTACTTGCAAAGCGTTTCACAGCAGGAATTGAATTCTCCAGTTTATACTTTAAAATAAATGCTAAAGGCTCAGTGGGATATGGTTAATAGACATGTTAGATGAAAAATAAAGTTCACAGAATAAAATGCTGAGTTGTTCTGAAATAAGTTTTGCCTGTCATGACAGTCACTTACTAGTGATTGCAGCAGCTGAAGGGAGGAGAATGGGACTTCTTTTCAAAAAGGAAGTGATATTTACTGGAGGCAGAGATTCCCCACCTAGCAAAACTGATGTGGTCTTGTCCTACAATTCCATTTGCAAATGCTTTAACATATCCAGATGCAGCCATAAGAATGACCTGTGGGACCTAAAGGAATGAACCACCTTACCTAACTGCTGAATTTGGGAGTTAGTTTTGGCAGGGAAAGTAATTGCATCTGTCTAGTACTGTTTGTCTTTCAGCTGCTTTGTGCAGATGGTACTCTCTTAACAAATCTTCGTGCATACATAATTTCCTATGGTTTCTTAAAAGCCAGGGGTTTGGGTGAGTTGTTTTTAATAAAAAATCTGTTTATTTCTGAAAGCATATTTTTTGTGACAAAACGTACCAGTTTTAAATGAAAACAAGAGCTAATTCCAGATAACAACAGATTATGAGAAATACACACAAGGAAACAACAATGCCAGCAAAAAAAAAGTGTTACAGCCTGTGGCAGATTAAGGAAGCTATTACTCCAGGCTCATGGATTCACGGAGGAGTGAATGTACTGGCCTTTTTGAACAGAGAGGAAAGCTGACACCAGAAGGTGAAAACCTGCTTCTTCAGAGGTTTTTCCCCTTTCTTTTGGAGAAGATGTTTCCAGCCAGAGCCAGGGCGCAAAGCCCAGCTGCCTTTGGGTGCCACCTCAGCTCATCACCCTACAAGCAACAAAGAGAGAAAGTGAGCAAGACTTTGGTTTGCTGCCAGCCTTGAAAAAATTGTGGTAATCCCTCTGTCACTAAAAAGCTGCAGCTGTAGGTCATGGATCTATGGTGGCAGCAGAGTAAAGAGGACAAATTATTTCATCTCAAAGTGCAATTCTGCAATTAAAAGATTGTATTGCAATTTTTGAGGGGAGAACTGCTGCTCAGGGAAAAGATGTGCTTGAATGTGTTTCAGCAATGATCTGTCACTGCAGCCATATGAAGTAAAATTAAGTGCCTACAACTACTTTTTTATCCACTGCTGTAAATATACCCTGAGCTCCCTTTGCTTAAGTCTTTGGAAAGGCAGGCTGATTTCCTTCAGGTGCCCCCCTTTACATACTGAAGTTTTGAACATCAGGAGCAATGTCTCTAAACCCAGAGAGGCACAGTTTATGACGCACAAAACTTGAAGATGTTGCAGTAACGTGGGTGGGGTGTGTGGGGGTGTGTGTGTGTGTGTAAGGGCTTGGTATTCTTCATGCATTTTCTTATTTTTTTCATCCTGGATAGGTGAGGTTTCTTGGCAAACAGTGTGCGTAAAAAGTTTTTGTCTTTCATGCATGCTTTCTGGAATTCCTTACTTTCACACTTGCAAAAGCTCCTTAGTTTCCAATTATTCATTTTTATTTTTATTTTTTCTTCTTCTTCTTGAAAACAGATTTTGAATAAGAGTTCAATAGCTGATTAATTTCTGAATCATCATTAATTTCAGCCCACTAGTCTTTTTTTAATCCTTATTATAATACATGGGATTTAAAGTTACTTGTTATTTTCATTGACTTTAGGAATGCATTGAGTTGGTTGAAAATAAGTATTTTGGAGGGTAAGTAATGCTTTTCCCATCCAAGCTTCATAACTGCCCTCATTCCAGCCCTGTTTGACAAATCCTCCAGGGCTATAAGAAGTTGAACAGCTAGTTCATAAGGTCATCCAAATATTAACAGGTCTAGAAGATACAGAGATAATGACAATGCTGATGCTACTTAACAAGGGATGCACTTTGCTAGCTTGCAATCAATTTGAACTTGCAATAAATGCAAACATTGACATTCACTGAAAAGCAATAGCAGACAATGCATTAGAACTAGTAGACTCCTGTTGTTACTAAGAAATTTCAAGAAGACTGAAGGTTTCAACAAATGTAAAACTGCAGAAGGAAACTGCCTTATCAACAGGTATTCATGGATGGGTGCACTGATATATGGGCAAACGTTCAAAATCAGAATAAAAATCTGTCAAATCAATATATGACCTAAATTATTTCCTCTCTTAAAACAGATTAATGGGTGAAAACAGTTATAATACAGTGCAGTGAATACATATGGGAAGCCTTTGCAAGACTGCTCTTCAGTGTTATTTTACAATTTGAATTAAGAGGGAAAAGAACAAAGACATGGGAATACAAGGAACAGGACTTATTACAGTAACCAGACTAAATTGTCTGTCCACCTTCTGACATTAACAAAGCAAAAATAACCCAGCCCAGTTGATCCAAAGAGGGTCCCTCTGGGTAGGGACTGCATGCACATCTAAGTTTGCTTGTGTTGATGCAGCAGTGGTTCCCTGCACTGTGCAATTTCAAATTGGAGAAGGAGAAAATCCTGCTAGGGAGTTACTCACCTACTTGCAATCACCTCTTCCCAACTTGCTGCAACTTACGATCTACAGTGGGAGTTCAATGACCAGCACTAGTTATTTTTGCTCCTTTCTGTCTCCAGTTTTTATCTCAGACAGTGTCTGCTGGGATCTACAGATAAAAAGAAATAATGGTATTTCCACTACAGTTTCCATCAGTGTATTCAGATACTAGATTAGTCTCCATCGATGCTATCTATTCAGAGGAGAATGGAGGAAAACTGAGCTATAGCTATTACATGACACGTAAACACTTGAATGATCTGACATAAGAAGAAATGTTTTGTATCTTCCAAAAGTTTACTAGAGGATCTGTTGCCCTCACACATGAACTCAAGGTAGACATTTTTTTAACACATAGAAGTTGAGCAGGAGTACCTTAGCATCTGGGATGATTGTATTTACTTTCTTGCTCTGCTACAGTCTTATTTCTTTAGGCAAGAAATGCAAGCTTGGGAATGATAGATAAAATAACATTTTCCAAAACACTTCTAAGACAGAATTTTGTCTTTCAAATTACTTTATAATGGCAATAACTTTATAATGGCAATCCCAAAGGATGCCAGCTCTAAAAATCTTAACTCACATTCAATAATGAAGCAGACCATGCAAGTGCTTTGAAAACATTTGTGTGACTTGCATCACAGTAAACATACAAGAAATGAAATGCTTCAGGAGATATTTTCTATTATAAAAATACATAGCCCCAAAAACTGTAATGTTATTTTCTTCTTTAATAGTTATTGAGTTGCTCGCTCATTCTGGATGAGCTTTCCATGTCTGGAAAAGATTGCAGCTTTTAAGTGGTTTGGAAACATGATTTTATCCGAAGTCTCCGCCCTTTTATCTCTTGACCCGAGAGTAATTTTTGCCTCGAGATAAAAGCTCTCCCAGAGGAAGTTTATCTTGAATTAGTTTAGCTTTGAATGACAGTAGTTATGAACAAATCTTTGCCTTCCAGCTTTCAGCACAGGGCCTTGCTTTCAGTCAAAACATTTTCCCAGAAACTGTAGTCAAGTTTGTACAGCCCATACAAAATTTTCTTCACCAACGTAATGGGTAGCAGATTAATATAGTCAGTCAAGTTCACTCAGATGTGACCATATCTTTGCTGCAGTGTAAATCTCATTTTTTTTGTATCTAGCCATTTTACTGAGGAAAATAAGGTCATGTATTTCCAGATTAAATCCAGTCAGGGATTGGTAAACACGTATTATCTTCAGAGAAGTTGAACCTGTTTGTGTGCTGGAACTAAAATGAAACTTTTAAAATTCCTAAACATTATAAGTTTAAATGGTTTTGAGATATCCTGATTTTATTTTCAAGAAATGCATTATTCAATGAGCCCAGTACTATTTTTTTTTTTTGAACGATGGGTATTAAGGCCTTTAAACTCAAAATTGTTACCTAAATTACCTAAAA